TTGCCCTACTTGCATGACTGTTGATTTATGATCTAATATGAAAACTATAACTCAAAGCTGAGAAACAAAAAAAAAATTCAGGAAGCTTCTAATATTGAATATTTTCTGGTACATACTTCTATGGAAGAAAGTTATCTACTGTGTTATTACATGTTATCCTACATGTTTTCCTATAGAATTCTTCAAGTTAAAAATGTAATGTTGAAGGAAATAATTGTTTGGTTTTATATTTACATTGTGTACATAAAACCTTTCCTCTGATAAGCTGCTATCTCTATATAACTTTGTGCATAAGCTTGCAGGTTAAATAACATTGTCCTGTGGTATAAAATGCACACAAAATGCATACAGCACAAAATGCACTAAGCACAATACTTAACAGCTCCATCAATCATATCTGTGAGTGTAGGATCCTGTGCCATAGTTGATAGCTGAGATGGAGCATAGTTCTTTGCTAAATGATCTGAGTGCAGGATCAGGGCTTTAGTTTGTTCATTGCATGTGCCTCTGCTACAGGGTGGGATGATGATGATGTGTTTTGGGCAGAGCTGTCAATCATAGTTAACTCATGCAATTAACGTAGAAACAAATTGTGTTAATTTTTTTAATTGCACTAATTGCACACATCCTTTTGACCAGTGGAGAGGATCAGCTCCAGAGCAGATGGAACCTGTGCACACAGCCCCAGCTCCGGCCCACTCTGTGCCTGCTCCAGGCATACCTGCCCATGCTGAAAAGCAGCAGCAGCTGGGCAGAAGCTACAACTTGGCATGAGAGAAAAGCGGCCCCTCCCCCTCACTGCTGCCAGGGCATTCTTGCTGCAGATGTCCAGAGCCCATGACCAGGCTGCCCCACAGTGAGGTGACAGTCCAGAGGAGCTGCAGAGCAGCCTGGGTATGGGCTCCAGACAGCTGCAGCAAGAAGGGCTCGGCAGTAGTGAGGGGAAGGGGCTGCTTTTCCTTTGTGCTGAGCTGCAGCTTCTGCCTGGCCACTGCCATTGCTCAGCATGGGCAGGTAAGTCTGGAGCAGGTGTAGGGTGGGGTGGGGTTGGGTCTGTGAGTGCAGGTTCTGGCTGGTTTGCTTCTGCTGGGGCAAATCCGGAGCAGGTGTGGGGTGGACCAGGGCTGTGCACTATGGGTGGTGGCAGTGAGGAGCCACAGGGCAAAAGGGGTCTGGCCTGTTGGATGGGGGGTGCTGACTATTGTTTAACTATTCGGTTAAAATTGCAATTAATTGCAGCTATTTTTTTTTATTTCACAATTAATTGCAATTATTTTTTTGTAATAGTTTGTCAGCCCTAGTTTTTGGGTAATACTTACACACCAAGAGATCTTCAGTACAGGAATACTGCTTTCACCTTTGTCTATGAAGCAATTACAATAATGCAACATGCCTGGGGAACAGTCTTATTTTTAGAGAACAAGCATTAATGTAACTGTTTAGTTTTGTTCTTAAAAGGAGAAGAATCAGGTTTCACAGTCAGTGGCTAGTAGGGCTGTGTGACGCTTCTGGCGCTGATTCGATTCGGAGGAGATTCGGCCGGATTTGGTGGCCGAATCTGAATAGAATCAGGAGAACAATTAAAAGGTCCAAATCTATTCGAAGCTTTCTGAATCAATTCAGAAGAGATTCAGAGAGCTTTGGAGATTCAGGCAGTCCCCGTTTGCTGCAGCAGGGAGCTGGACCCGGACTCCATGCTGCTAAGTAGGGGGTAGTGGGGGACACCACAGCAGGGCCCCTGCCAGGCCCCATCCCCTGCCTGCTCCCTCCAGCCCCCCTGAGCGCCCCCCCTGCCCACTTTCCCAGCCCCCCTAGTTCCCGGTTCTTTAAAAAAGAGCCCCCACTCACTGGCTGCTACCAGGTGGGAGGGCTGGCAATCCCCGTGGCCCCCTAAGCCCCATGCCACATGGGTGGGCTTTACCCTGAGCCCGCTGGCTCTCCCAGCCCTGCCCCCCCACCCCCATGGCTGCCCTGCCTGGCCCAGCTCCCAGCTTTAAAAAAAAAAAAAAAAAAAA